TAATAATATTAATATAATTTTATTATAGACGTTATTATATTAATAAAGGTATTAAATAATTTAAAAATATAAAAAAGAAAGAGTGATAAAATAACCAAGACTAATAACCAATTGTTTTGCATAAATAAGACGAAATATTAAATATATAAAAATATAAAATATACAAAAATATTGAACTTAGAATCATGTATTTATTGTAATATTTCGTTATTGGTATAAAAAAATGACACCTTGCATCAAAAAAGGTGTGGAACACTTAATCCTACCTTAACTTTCAAGATAAACAGAAAGAAATTGTTCATCTTCAATTTCAACTAAAGTTAACGAACAAACAGGTACACTTACTTGAATTCGAGTCTGTTCGCGTAACGTAAGCAAGGTAAAGAGAGATCGTGATGAAACCGGTTACCACTTACATTTTATATATATATATACATAAAGTATATGTATATACGTTGAATAAAAAAAAAAGAAGATAAAAAGGAGAGTAAAAAGGTATAAAGACAAAAAAAAAGTGATGTTACCTGTTGAGCTGAGGGAGGAGCTACTGAGGGCACGATCGAGAGATGTACCGGATGCTGTTACTGCAAGATTACCAAGACTTTTACTCGACTGGGATGTATGAACGAGTTTTCTAGGAGTTTCATTGGTACCAGGTGCTTTGCTTCTTCTCGGCAAAGTTTCTGGTAATCTTCCACCAGCAATATCTGGATTGTCACTTAATACAGAAGCTTCGTGGTATCCTGAACTGTCACTGCTATTTCTACTATGACCTATTAACATTTTTTCTTTAGATGATTCCGCAACATTAGTCGTTCTAGTTGTAGTAGTAGACGTTGCCATAGCTGTTGTATTTGTATTAGTCGTGATTTTACTGTTAACAGTTGTACTAGCTTGTTGTTGTTGTTGTTGTTGTTGTTGTTGTTGGGGTTCATGATTAGAAGAAGCTGGTGGTTTAGGTGCTAATCTTCTTTTTCTTTGAGGTCTGGTTGGTGGTTGTTGAAGTGGACTTGCACTTCTACCAGTTTCATCGCTTCTAGCAGGTGACACACTTCGACCTTCTAAACTATCAGTGCTAACTGAACTTTCTTTAGATTTTTTAAACATAAATCCAAATACGCTTTGTTTAGCTTGTTGTCTACGTCTTTCCTCTTGTCTTTGCAATGCCATGATGTCTTGCGAACTCAACGCAGAACCCAATGTTCTACCTTGTTTTGCATAAAGTGTTACTTCCTGTAAATGATAGTCTTGAAGGGATAGATTTAAATCCAATATTTCTTCCAAGTTAACTGAAAAAAAACAAAACAAAACAAACCAAAAATAAAAACCTTCTGCGAATTGGTAAACTGTTTACGGGGACGCATGAGTTCATCTTAAATTATTTATATTTTTTATTTGCTTGTTTTATTCCGTCATGGTCTCAAAATATTTTAAACATCTTGAAATTTGATAATGTGATTTGTTTTTTCTAAAAAAATTACGATTTAAATAGCCAATGGTCGTGACTTTATACGCATGACGTGTATACTCGTCAATAGAAAAATCGTTCCACATTTAGACGAGTATACTCGTCGATAGAAAAATCGTTCAACATTTAGACGAGTATATTCGTCAATAGAAAAAATCGTGCTGCTTCTGCGTGACGAGTATACTCGTCGATCACAGTTAACTGATTAAAAACGAGTAAGATGACTATAAAAAGATGATCAAGAAATAAAACACGAGTTGTAGAACCAGCCAAGAGATTTTTTTTTTGTTTTCCAACCCCGATAATGATCTTCTTTAACAACTACCCCCCTCCCCCCACCTTCCCTCTCATATAACCGGCTAACTATAACGTCTAGGTACTTAAAATCGTTTCTGTTCGAGCAAAACCTTTCGCAAGAAGAGGGGGAGGGCTTAATAATACTCTCGACGACGTTTATCGTTAAATGTTTTGCAAAATTGTAAGACTAGTTCGGTGAATCGAATTTAACAGATTTTTTGATTGATAATCGAAGATTTATTTAATTAAATTTCATTTAATGTTCATTTATCATTTTTTTTTTTTCATTTAAAGTTCATTTAATTAAATATTATTTGGATTATTTATTTATGTCTAATTTTCTATTCTCTTGGTTTTTTTTTTTTTTTGGTTTTTGTTTTTATGGATAAAGATAGGAAAGATTCCTGAGTAGGGGGAAGAAATAATTTTTTATTTTTTTTATTTTTTTTTCTAGAAAATTGGATTTGTGTTACGAGTATAATCTCCATCGTTCGGCTTCGGAAACCATATAATATGAATCTTATGATCGTACTGGTAATCGATGAGACGAGAAATTAAAAGACGTTGAACTTTCTTGTTATGAACTATATCAAATATTTTTATTGGGTTTTATAGAAAAATATTAGAAGTATATGTGTGGTTTCTTTTTTTTCATTAAAATATTATTTTTATAAATGTATTTGATCTAACGTATCTAAAAAAAATCATTCTCATTACGAACTACATCAAATATTATTATTGTGTTCTATGGAAAAATATTGGAAAAATATTAGAAGTATATATATACTTTCTGTTTAATAATGTTTTTTTTTTTTTTTAAACAAATCCGTTAATAAATATTGATTTTGTTCTTTTAATTATGAAGAACAGGATGATGTGTGCAAAATAATTGTTTTAAATATTACTTTGTTATATATTGTCTATATATATATATTTTTTGTTGTTGTTGTTTTATTAAAATATTATTTTTATAATATTATATAGTATTTTTTTTATAATAGTATTTTTATAAATGTGTGTTTATAATAGTATTTGATTCGACGTATCTAAAAAAAACTTCCTTGTTATCAGTTAATACAATATTTTTATTGTGTACTATGGGAAATATTAAAAGTATATCTTTTTTTAATGTAAAATAATATTTTTATAATTGTATTTTTATAGTATTTGATCCAACATATTTAAAAAAAATTTTTCTTGTTATGAGCTAATCAAATATTTTTATTGTGTTCTATGAAAAAATATTGAAAGTATGTATATAGATTTTTTTTTTATTAAAATATTATTTATATAGTTTTTATAAAAAATTGTATTTTTATATAGTAGTATATTTATAATAATATTTTTTTTATAAATGTATTTTTCTAATATAGTAGTATTTTTATGTATGTATTTTTATAATAGTATTTTTTATAATAGTATTTTTCTAATACAGTAGTAGTTTTCTAAATGTAATTTTATAAATGTTTATTTTTAAAATAGTATTTTTACAAGAGTATTTTT